CACATTTTTTGACACTGAAGAGTGCATCGGTATATTTGGTACCGGAAAGCTTGTGCACAGAAGTCGATGATCGATTTGATAATCGTATCGGATGTCAAGACGCTCTCTTATGAATGTTCACGTTAAGTGAGGCTCAGTGTTGCCCACAGATCACCACCTTGTCGTGGGCATGATGCGCTGTAAGAAATGAAGTACCATACGAAAATTTGGTGACAGCAGCTATTGAAGAGTCAAACGGGAAACATCATATTATGAAGGCAAGACTTAGAAACAACATTGCACGACGGTGCTACCACATTTCGGTGATGACAACCTATGTGGAAACCGAGTGGCAGCGTTTTAAGAGGCGGAATATTCGCCTGCCACCTAATGCTGCGGATTTAAAACGGGTTGACCTTCCGTCTTGAGGTCAGAAAAGAACTTCCTGGCCAAGGTAACGGGATTAACTGTCCGTGAGCAGAAGGCTCTATTCAAGAAGTGACTTGAAACCAACGAGCCATCAGCTCAGATGCAGCCCGAGGATCGGCTCAATGCAGCAGTGAAAGCAGTGACCAAAGCAAAAACTGATTTTTGGGAAAAATTCGGAGAGGTGCTGGAGTCGAATTTCCAGATGGGAAACAAGGTGTTTTGACAGAGGAACCGCTTCCTCCGAGATTGAAAAAAATACTAACGTTTGTGCTGAACAGGTACGGACTGGCAGTTACCCAAGAAACCGCAGAAAGACTCGCCTTGTAACGAATGGAAGTCTTTCAGTGGATGAGGCCACAGAAGTGGTATAATGCTTGAAAGTAGCAATGCTTCTGGGATGCGCGATATCATTGCTGATCTGAAATGCATGAGGCATTAGTGGAACTTGGCGTGTGTTCGCTTACACGTTTCTCCCAAACTGTAGTGGTTCCGTGCAACATCCCAACGGACTGGAGAACGGAGGATTGTAGTGCCCCTCCTCAAGAAGAATGTGCTCCGATTATCGGGACATTGCCTTGGTGATCCTACCGAGTAAACTTTAAGCAGAGGTTGTAAAGGAGCTTCCGCGGAATGTTTTACTCTACAAGAAGATTAATAGTTTACTGGTTGAATGGGATCTCCAATGAATTCCATTTTTCGGCAATAAATAAAAAAGAAAATACACGAAAATTATGCATGCATCACAAGAAGAAAACGGAAAACAATCGCACTCGAACACTTGGAGTCAGCGAAAAGAATGTGGAAGTATGAAACTACGTGCATAAATAAAGTTACGGACAAACAAAAAAAACTGACGTTGCGCTATATTTGCCATATATTTGCCCTACGCCAGATTGTTCAGAAATCGGGGGAGTTCGCCTATCCGTTCCATGTGTGTTTTGTGGACCAAGAGAAAACCTTGGTCCGAATCCCGCGCAACAACTTCTGGGCGTGACTGCAATCGTATGGGACCGAAGTCCATTTGTCATGAGCCATCCAGTGACTGTATGTTGATTGTAGGAGCAGCGTCAGGATAGATGGTGTCTATTTCTATATGCATGGGCACTGGTCTCTTCCAAGGCTGCAATCTGTCCCCTCTCCTATTTGTACAGTACATGAGTAGAATAGTAAGGCGCAGCCAAACGATGAATGTATCGGTGTGGAAGATGTCTAGACGAGAAGGTTGCTGTCTGCGGACAATTTTCATTTATTGGCTTCATTTGGAACTGATCTTCACCATTCTCTGAAATGGTTTGCAGCTGAGTGCAACGTGACGAATATGCTTGTGAATGTTTCTATAATGAAACGCCTAGTGATTTGTCGTTTTCCTCCCCGCAGCACTATGCGTATGAACTGCCAAGGTGTGGATATTAAGCAGATGTGTAACTATTTGGTTAGTTTCATGGCAAATCTCGGAAATGAGCCGGCTTATTCTAATGGCCAACTGCGTTCTTTGTAAACTAGTTATAACCGTTGTGACTGGAGAAGAGCTAAGTCTAAGGACGAATCTCTCCGTGTTAAAGTCGATTTTCATATACAAATCGCTTATCGTTATGAATCATAAGTCATGATTGAAAAACATGGATCCCTGCTATAAACCGCTGACATTCGTCTGAGATGAATGGCGTAAATGTTACCACATAAGTTTACCTTGAACAAGACCCTTGTGTTGCATACGGGGTGATTATACATATCGGTCGTACGCCATCTATCAACCCATTTCTTTGCGTCGTATATTTGTTCACCGTTTTATGCAGATTTTCAAAGCATTGTGACTGCGTTGAGTGATGGGGACTTTACTTTGTTTTTTCTTATTTAGATCTGTTATGCGATGGAAGCCAAATGTACTGATCATCGAGCGAAACTTCGGTTAATCAGCCTATTTGAACGTAAATCCAAAAATTAAGTTATCTGCCTCTTGCGACACCTTTTGTCGAGGGTACCCTGCTGATCGCAGAGCCTTTATTGTGGCATCGATTGTGGCAGACGAGGCATCAGTAATTCTGCTGGTTGTTGACTGATATGCTCGACGTGTACTCCGTGGAGCCCGTGGCTCGAAAGCTCCCACTGGTCATCGATGCTCTTTCCTCCAATGGTATATTGGTCTTAAATTATATTAATCTTAAGACGAGTTCGTATAAACAAATAGAGATGATTTAATCCAAACATGCCAAAACTTCGTTTTAAGTATAACATCATTACTACAAATCAATTTAAAAGAATCATTAGTATTTGAATCATACGTAATTGATGATTCATTTTCATTGTTTCAGTTTCAAAGCTACTTATAGGTAAGCGGACAGGTGGTTGTAACATTAGTGTGTTATAAACAATGTATGTTATAAAGATTTAAAGATAAAGTATAAACAGAAGAAAAAATTTCTTATCTTGTGAAGGTTTGTAAGACAGTCTGAAACATTGGCATTAACAGATTTACACATATGACCACTTGATGATTTGCAAATTAACTGTGCCAGTTCTATTGTAAATTTAATTGCATGAATACGTGATTAATGCGGGGAGATAATTTTCTATTACCATGATCACGAATGTGTTTATTCCATGTGATCAAAATATCAGCAGCTTGTCCGACGTTTCGCATTACATTCAATACGTCTTCATAGTTCATGATATATGTACAACGAATGTCAATGTACAATGTTCGTTTTAAAGTGTTTTTCTTCTCTTTGTACGTTGATATTTGTTGCTGATTTATTATGCCTACAGAGGATGAAGATAGCATGTGATCCTGAAACATCTGACAATTTGTTCATATTTTTGCTAAGTTGATTAAACCCATTTCTGATTATGCTGATGGAAAACTATTGCATGTATTAGATGTCAAAGATTGTCTGCAAAAATAAACATGTTGTAAACTAGAACGTCATAATAGCATAATGTTTGGTATGTGGCTGCTGCTGTTGTTTGTGCGAAATGGATTATAATAAGAAACGCACCTCGTGCTCTCCAGAGGAAAAAAATGAGAAGTCGATTACCTGCAAATAAGACAGTGCAGTATTGTAATGATGACACTTTCGGCTATACTATTTGACGCACCCATTTGCCTGTGGTGTGACGTGACCCACGAGATGGGCTCAAGTCAGGATTATGTACTAACCATGAAACGAAGTGAAAATGGTTATTAAAGCAAAGCCAAGCCGTTATCTAATGAGCCCTTCATTGGCACATTTATCCGTCTGTCCATTCGCTTGCCCGTCCATTCATTT